TTTTTTTTTTTTTTTCTGCACTTTCGTTTGTTCATTTTCTATCGTTGGTGATCACACTTGTACATAAATACACAACGACACGAAGTCGAGAGCAGCGGTGCGAACATACATTTTTTTTTTTTTTTTTTTTTTTTTTACTTTTTCGTTTCTTTCGACGCACATTAGGGAAACGATATTTAATGACTAAATGGAGCGAATTTGAATGACGTTATTTATAGAAACGGTGTGAAACGCCGAGCGGTGATCGTCGTTTAAAAAAAAAAAAAAAAAAAAAAAAAAAAAAAGTACGTGTTACGATGTAATTAATTGTATAACTGTTAAGAGAAAAAAAAAAAAAAAGAAAAAGAAAAAGGAGGAGAACGCGTGCATGTGCCGAATATAGTCAACGATGTATTTACACAGTCGTCGTGTCATGCGATGTTAATTATTATAACTGACTGATTTATAATAATTAACAGGAAAAATCGTCGGATACCGCCGGAGGACGATGTGGACGGATTCGCAAGAATCGAGATTTTTTTCTTATTCTTAATTACACGCTTGCGTAACGGGACGACGTATCTATTTTGTAGATAGAGAAATTTCAGCGATTGATATTTATTCCAGTAGTAGGATTTCTCGTTGTGTGTATTTATGCTCGATGTTTAATTTATATATACGGTGGTTACGTTTTTACGGAGGAGTTCTACGTCCGTGAGTTCGTTTGATCTATTCGATCGGTATTATCATCGTTTAACGGCCGATAAACGATGGATCAATACCGCCTGGACGTGATCTGTTCACTCGTCTGTCGTACACCTAAGTAATTTATTCGAATGAATTGTAGTTCAGGTTTTTTCCTTTTTTTTTTTTTCTTTCTTTCTTTTTAATTTATTCGCGACGCGCATCCGAATACGATAATCACGTTCGATGATCGAGACGATCTCTTGTTCAATCGACGATCAATTGTAACATTTGCTTTATGAATGTCTCTTAAATACGATAACGCGACCAATGATCAGATGAAACAAAGTTGTAAATGTGCTCAGTATCGTCTGTATATATTTGTGTGAATTATATTCCAAACATTTGAGAGAAACGAAATAAACAAATGCCTTCACTTCTGTGCAAGAAGCAACTCTCCCTCTTCTTTATTTGTTCACTTTAAACTGAGTATGAAATTATATCAAAACATCAACATGTGTAATACCTATTCTAATCAGATCTTTCTCGTTTAACGCTAGAAAAATATTCATACTTAAGTAATTAATTTGAGCGATACGTGACATACATATCTATAAAACATCAACGTGAAGCATCAACGTGTAATGCTTATTCTAATCAGATCTTTCTCGTTTAACGCTAGAAAAATATTGATACTTAAGTAATTAATTTGAGCGATACGTGACATACATATCTATATAAACATCAACGTGAAGCATCAACGTGTAATACTTATTCTAATCTCAGGTTCATCTGCCTCGCGCCTAACACTAGAAAAATAACATTTATATAAACATCAACGTGAAGCATCAACGTGTAATACTTATTCTAATCTCAGGTTCATCTGCCTCGCGCCTAACACTAGAAAAATAGCGCTTTAGTCGAAATAAGGCACTTCAACGCCTGTCAAACACAGGCATAAAAAAACAGAAAGTAAATTATTCTATTTTACGGAAGACAGTGTAGTTAGTTTTGTGTTCAACATATACGCGTAGAAAGCCGAGAATAAATCGTTGCCAATCACCTCGATGCAATCGTATAAGAATGTAACGATTTTCGCCAATGCATTGGATATGTTGTTTCTAGACGACAAGCTGAGACTTATGTTGTACTTTTTCAAATTCGCTTTGCAGTATGCCCACGTGAAATAAACAGCATCGCACAGAAATTGCTTGGGTTCGTTGCAATGCTCCACTATGATCATAGTAATTTTGAAACACTTGGTCAGAACATCTACCGCGTTGTTCAAGTATTTCATTTCTTGTAATATGTCGTCGAAATACTTAACATCAGGCATTTCCTCGTTCGTCGAGTCGACGTAATAATCTTTCAATAACTGTTTAAGTAAAAGTTTCAACTTCATCATCACGTCGTTCCTTTCTGTAGCGATCATCGGTGGACTTATCAAATTAAACGCGACTGTGCCAGCTGTCAGTAAATTTGCTGTGAACTCAACAGGATCTATGAATATTCTATCATTTATAACAATGTAGCTATTCTGATATTTGATACTTGGCAACATCTCTCTCCAAAATAATTTATTCAGACTGTTTAAGAAGTCCTGCCTGTTGGCAAATTGCTTTATTTTGCACAAAATGCCTTCGGATCTATTTTGCGTATTGCCAACGTATGCACTCATTTTATTGAACTGCTCCGTCAGACGGTTACTCTTCAAAGCGCCCTTAAATTCCTCAAGGATGCTACCTTTGGATGTTTCTATAAGCTCGCCAGCCAATTTAACATTTAGCAACGCATTACCGAAGAATAAAACATGAGAGGCGAAAATAACTATGTCCAGAAAATCAACATCCCTTTTTGTACGATATTTGTCGATTAAACAATATCCCTGATAAACTATACCGACGCTACTCAATGTCAAGTTACTTAATATCACAGAATTGTAAGCTGTTTTAGCTACAACACCAACGGTGCTGCCTTTGGCAAGGGCTTTAGACAAGATCATAGTTCCTCCACTTGCTCCCAACGATAAAGCTGTACTACCTATTTCAAGCCAAGCAGGAAATGCATTTTTATTTATAGGACTGATAGATTGCTTATGCTTAGCAAGATCCATTAATTTTTGAGAATTTCTGGCAATGTTCCATCCACCGCATAGACTGCCAGAAATTAAACCTATTGATCAAAATTTCATTCTGTTAATAAAGAACAGAAGTGAAATGGAAACTGAACTGTTTTACTTACATGAAACTGTCATACCTGTGGCAAAAACAACTGGTGCAATAGGTGTCAATAAGCTAGCAGTTCCAAGTCCAGCAGTAGCTACAGACATTGTATTCGCAGCAATATCAATACCTTTAAAGACTTTATTTTTAACGTTACAAGCTGGTGAGTTTAATACCTCAACCCATACGGTTGAAACGTGTTCTGTAACTTCATAGTTTGGATCATACCGATATAAACCTCCCTTTGGCAAAATCATAGTACACTGGGGCAATCTGTTGTTTGCAGTATAGTCTTTCCAAGTTTTATACAGTCTGCCTTCGTTGTCAATATAAGATACATCTAGTGTCAGTGTCTTCAATTTAAATATTGGTACTATAAACATATTATTAGATTCTTCATTAGATTTGTCATCCTTTTTATTCGACTGCTTTAGTGCTGCGTGTAAAATTCCAACATTAAATATGATTCCAAGATAAATGGTATTGTTTGCGTTATTTCTTCCAAACTTTATTATCTGTTGATATATTGTATCTATAACTTTGCACATTGTTTTATCATATACTATCTTATTGCATACACTGTTTTGCTTGTTATTGACCGATGTGTCATTCTTAGAGGTTATTGGTATTTCTGTATCATCAACAATTTCAGGAATACCAAACAGGGCATATCCAATCTTGTGTCTTATGATTTCATAATCATCAGAATCATATTGAAACCAATCAGGAAGAGATTCATAATAATATTGCTGATACTCTTTGGCAAGCTTGATTTTATCCTCCTAGGATACATCAAATTAGAAATTAAATTATATTAAAAATCTGAAAAACATGAAACAAACAGCTGATAATGAATTACACGCATATAAATTTACTTTTTCATCAGATAGACAAGCCATGTTGATTCTTCAAGATGATGAAACTCTGATTTATGTTTGAAGTAAAATCAAGGGCTGTTATAAATACACGACATTTAATTATTACATCAAAAGGAATATCGTTATTAATTGAGTATAAAATAACGTAGCAACCACGATTAGGAACAATTATTAACAAAAATTATTCTCACAAACGACAGTTAAATATCACCGTGAACTACCTTTCTACACATACATATACACAAGCGCGTATAACCTGAACCTACATGTAAAACGGGGAATTCCCGTTTTAGCATCATATTTGTTACCGATGTTACATACTACCTTATATACGAGGTTAGGTTAGATTAGATTTAGGTTAGAAAAAGGAATATAATTATTAATAATGGATGTTAGCATCGCTTTTCTTTTGAATATTAAGAATAAAATCACTGATATAATCACTGATATAAAATGTAGTGAAATTAGACAAGCGTGCCAATTAAATTACGGAAATTAACTGGCGGACGGTTTGAAAAAGACAAACAATCAAATTACTCACAATTATCACTCATAATTATGTTCAATATATTTATATACGTTTGTAAGTACAATAAACGAAATTCATATCAGATGTAGTTCTGATCATTTATCCAATAATCTAAAAAATATTAATAGTTCCTCTTATTCCTATATAATTCCCTAGCAATGTCCATATGAAAATGATCCTTTAATCAATACTTTGATCAATACTTTGCTCAAGCTTTGAATGGACAGTAATTAAAGTTGAAATTAATATCGTTAACATTATAATAGCACAGCGTAATGTTAATTAAATAAAATTTTAAAAAGTACTCGTTATGATCATTGACCTTTTTAGGATCTAACTAGATTCTGGTAACTTTTTTTCTTATTTATTTATTGCAGTGCCAGTCTCGAAAATGTTACGTATTCCAAAATCCTAAAATCGACAGAAATAAGGAACAACGGAAGATGGAGGATCAGGTATAACAATATAATTCAATGAAAACAATAACAAATACATATATTTCTCGAAATGTGATACACTTTGATGTTTTTTTTTCTTTTTTTTTTTTTTTTTTTTTT